ATTGATTATTGATTACAGTATCGTTTCTACACCATTATCCCCATCAATAATAACTGTTGGTAAATCATCTTCCAGTGTCACTATTTCTTGTGAATTATCGTGCATGTCAAATAATTACAATAAAATGCGAACAGAATGTTGTAAAAGAGTTCTTATCTGTCTTTATTAAAACTTGTAATGATCAACAAGTCATCTGGGTTTGATATAAGAACAACATGAATCTGAGTTTGGCCTGAAGTAAAATGAATCTGACTTCTGCATAGTTCACTCTTAGACTGGCCTTGAGAATTCAGTCCAATCTCGAATTGACCTGAGATTTTCTTTTTAATCTGCCTTTGGACTAGGTCAAACTAAGATCTTACTTTCGTCTAGACCAATCCTGGATTGATCTAAATGCAAGTTTGGACACTGATATCTCTGTTCGAGGAGATTTCGTTAAATATATCCATCCGATGCACGCAAGCATTCAGCAGGACCGAAATCATCGAATAAGGTGATTCTGACATTTGAGCAATAAAATGTGATGTGATGTATTTCAAATTTTATGCAGACTTGTCTTTTTTATAGCTAAAAAAGAGAAAGTAGTATCATATTCTAATAAAAATGCCTGACATTTCAAAAACTGTAACAGAATAAAGATTTATTTTAGATGCCTTTGAATCTTCAAAAACAGCCAAATTCATCACTAGTTCATGTTTATAATTAATTGAATAAGCTCCATGAAATCCATCTTTAATATACGTCATTTTTTGATAACTAGTACATAAATTAATAAGTTCAACCGATACATTAATTGCATTTAATATTGGTATATCGTCGAATATCATATCTTGGTGTGTTTTATAAAATAAATTTACTATCCATTAGTTATTGTCTGATCACCACTATCTGAACTCATGAGTGCATTCTCGTTTATATTCATTATTTTATCCCGAAACTTTATATTAACATTATGTTCATACGACTGAATAAATTCATCAATAATTGGTATTAAATTATCGATATAAGAAATAAATTTGTCTCTATTATTGTCACCAGTTGTAAATAATTTTAAATTTTGACTGTTTAGTTTTAAAAGTTTCCAGTCATTGAGTGTACCCATAAAATGTATTTGTCTTATACCACATAAATAGATTATTTCCTGATATCTAAAATAAGATTTAAACGTATCCATTATATTTAAATACGATAAAATTCTTTCAATTTGTGCTGGTATTATTGTATAATTAGATGTCAATAGATAGATCTACTATTGTAAAATTATTAACATTTTTTTTCTGTTTCTCTCTTCATTACATAAAAAAAACTTGTCCAGTCAAGTTCATTAGGACAATCTTGTTCATATACAGTTAATGTCTTTTTATTTTTATGTTCAACAAATAAATTTCTTAATTGTTCAGAATTATCATTAACATATTTAGTATAATTTAAACAAATTATGCTAATCATATATCATCGAGTGATAGAACAACATCTTCATGATTATTATATGCATTCAAAAAATAATGTTAATATCGGATTTGATGATTGTTGATTATACGAACCATTTGTTATAAAATATTGTTTACGATAATTTATTGGTGTAACAGTTGTTATCTCTGATATTCTATGACAGTAAGGATACGACGTTCTTGAAGATACATTAGAAGTTAACCAAAGACTGTTATCTGCTAAACGTAGAGCATAATCAAAATTAATGTTTTTTTGGTTCTAGTTCTCTATGAATTGGAACTGTATTGTAAAATGATTCTATAAATGAAGATATTGATGTTATTTACTCATATGTATTGGAATTTAAATCCATAAATATTAGATAGAATAAAATCGATACTAATTTTATAGGCTTAACTATAAAAAGTTATAGAGAAAAATATTTATCTTACCATTAGTCTTTTACATAATTAAGTGAATGTTATCAAGTGTTTGTGTTCTAGCTACTTGTTCAGAAATTTGAGTTTTTGTTTTTCCATATTTGAATAGAATAATATTTGATTATTTTTGTCGTGTTTAAATTTGACCCATTATTAAATGTAATTGATTATACTTTAATTATTTTGATAAAGAATTTAATTTGAAATTATATGGAATGTTTTGTAGTTTATTTATAATTAGTGTTTCAACTATTCTACTGCTGTTTGGTTCAGTAAATTCAATGAATAATTTTGAGTTTAACGATATTAATTTTCGATCATTATCAATGTAAATAAGACCAGAGGTTAATGATGATTTTTCTGATCATTGCCTATAAAACATTTTTTAATAATGTTTAGTAAGGAATTCAACTTTCTAAACTAATTTACTTACCATCTATGGTTGCTGTTATAAGATGCACGTAAAGCAAACTTTGTGTGAAATTTTTTTTTCGACTTTGAGATACATATTCTTGTTCAGCGCATCGAGCTGATAACGAATATCATCTTCCAGCGTCAGAAAATATTTCGTCGCCGAGAAAGCCTTAAAATACTGAGAAGGTGTCAAAAAGGTCAAAAATCTTGTTTTTTTGAAAACACGTCGCCGTCTCGTCAGGTTTTATCCTAGAGACTCAGGCTTGGTCTCATTCGATTCCTCATTAAAAGCTGATCTTAGGTAAGTCACTTTTAAGTCTCCAAACCCAAAACTGAAAATTTGGCCAGGAATTGAATTTTCAATGTCAAAAATTCGAGACCCTATGTTCAAAAATCTATCTAGTTTTTCGGGTTAAGAGCTATACCCTTCGTTTATACGTCAAAATATGCGTCTTGAAACTAGCTTTAAAATGACATATAGAAAACAAATTATCAACATAAAATGCAAGAAACTACTATCTATTTCAGACAGAATGTGTGCGATTGCGATTCGAATAACTCCGAGACGTTACTAGCTACCGATCTGCGGTTTTCACCATTGTGGAGCCAGGAACCTTAGATGTGGATGTACGTAAGAAGAAATTTTTTTGATGAGTTCTTGAGTGGTTTCTAGTGGTATCTCTGGAAAACTATTTCATTATCCGGAAATGTAGCATAGCAATATATTAGTTGTTTTTCATGAAAAGGTGGCCTTAAGTGTTCTCTTTTAAATAGCAATTTAGAGGGACCTTCATTTCTAGTGGTTCAGGTGTGGTGTCGGATTTGCTTGAAGCCTTATGACTAGTATCAGGTGACTTCAGGTGGTTTTGAAGTTGCATAGAACATAGGTAATCGACCACGCTGAATCTGGTGGCAATCCTTATTTTTAAGTAAGGCTTCAAAAGCAAGGTGAAAATCGAGTTTTACGAAAACTGGGTTTACCACGCCGTTCTTACCTAATATTAAAAAATTCACAGCTCACTCAGAAAATATTAGGAAAAGTTGGAAACTTTAGGATGTGCAAAATTTAGGTCATTCTATACCCTATTTATACCAAGCATTTACAAAAAAAGATTCTAAAGCCGTATGATTTTTTGAAAGGTTTTGCAGTACGGCTATTGACACCACCATGTAAAATCAAAGAATAGGTGGTGTTACGGCTATTGCCGCCACCAAGTAAAATCAGAGAGTAGGTTGTGTCAACAACAGCTATTGTCACCACCGGTGGTGTCAACCACGGCTATTGACACCACCACGGAAAATCAAAGAGTAGGTGGTGTCAACTACGGCTACTGACACCACCATGCAAAATCAAAGAGTAGATTGTGTCTACTACGGCTATTGATCAAGCTAATTTTTAAGAATGGGGCTGTCTACTGCTGAGGGGTACGTAATCATGAAGGATCGGTTTGCAACTTCTGGGGCCATGTTTAATAACTTTCATGTTCTTGTTATATCAATTTAAGTTCTTTGTTTGTTCTGCGATAAACACGCATTAATCTGCCTTGCTATCTGTCGAACCGTTTATGCTGTGGTTTACCGTTCTCATCAAGTCGCCAACCATAAACAAAACGTTTAGAAATTGACTTTTTCAGAATTGCTGGAGAATCGAAATACTGGAAGAAATAAGACGTGTAAGCTCTTTTTGATATAGAAAAAGGCTAATTATTTTATTTAAAAATAATGTAATCATCTACGCACTGTCGATGTTTTGTGCTAACATAGAGGTTTTACATGGCAACAATAAATTTTCCATTTGTTTCTGTGAACTAGTAACAAATGTGGTACACATTGGCCTACGGATTCTAAGTGCATTGATGATTGTTTCTTAATTTCACTTTACAATTATACAGATTTGAAAGCTCATGAAAGATTTTTTCAGAAGAAAAACAGTGATTTGGTAACCAGAAACAGTTTACACATCGTCTAATTCAATACATTTCGATAAACTAGCTCCACCACTTGTCGATCTGATGATTCGCAGCAATGAGTATTCCGTGGATGAATCAGGTATGGATTCTAACTTACAATCTTAATTTTGTTCGTATCACAGTTACTTTCGCTAAGGAGATTAAGGAGATTCGTCAGAAAAGCGTCGCTATTTTTTGTGTACAGGAGAAGATTTATAATTGTCTGGTTGTTATGTTTTATTTTAGCTTTCTCATCGCGACTTTTACCACTTTTCAAAAATTTCTTTTAAGCCACTTATTCTGTTTGCCTTTTGTTTAGAAAGATTTCTTTTTAGGTAATTTGCTGCACGAACAGAGTTACACTTGGCGTTCGAACTAGTGTTATAAATTAATTTTATAAAGTACGGTAGAGAAGAGAAAATCACTTATTCATAAGTTGTTTACTTTACTGTTGCTAGGTTTTTTCTATCTGTCTCTCCATCTTCCTCGTAATTTTCGTTTTTCTTTCTACTTGAATAGACACGATAGGCTAAAACTGTACATGGTTTTCCTTCTTTCCAGATATATCATGTCTATTTAAGAAAAAAAAGAGAAAATGTACAAATTGTCTACTTATAATAAGTTTTGTGTCACCCAGAATAAAATCTACAAATAGAGATTAAGAGCGTGATGGAGAGACAGAGAAACATTCTAATAACGAACTTTTATTTGAATAAATTTGAAAATAAGCTGCATTTTTTCAACCCATCAATTTCAGATTTCTAAAATGTTTGAATCACTAATGCCTTTCAGATATCCTGTAGCGAAATTAGAGACGTACGTCGGCCTTGAAAACAATGTTTTATATTCAGCAAGTTACACTACCACATTATCATCTGATGGTACATATATTAATAAAATCAGTCAATATCTTTTGGAAAATCAAAAGTATTAACGTAACAGAAATGAATGAACTATATAATATTGTAGTTACATTTATTCGCGGCACACAAAGATTCTAATTTCATGATATCTTTTACTACTGTTTGTTCATCAGTTATCCTTTTTTTTTATTATTCTTGTTGTTGTCATTAGTTTCTCTTTTTTATGTTGTCGTCGTGTAGCGTCTCTATACATGTATCCTTGTGCTGTCCCCTGTCCTCAGTCAATTTATGTCAAGATGTAATGGGTTCGCTTCCTTCTACTCATAATTGTACGGATTTTTTAAACATTTCTTCTATTAAATAAAGTTTATAATAACAATCTGATTTTGTGATTTTTAAAATGTATTAGGAACTCTTTTATTTTTGCAAGTGCATAAGGACGTCGCAATAACATGCAAAATTCAAAAAAAACAACAGTTTGCACTCTGATTTACACGTTGAAAGAAAGAGAAATTGCGTAGGTAGAATCAATCACGGCACGATACTCCACCCTGTTCAATTGTCCCTACAAACGAAGATCAGAAAGAATTTACTCCTTGTTTCTGTTGGAAAAAACCCATGATGTTTTTCAAAAAAAGAAAATATGTTATATGACAAGACGAGAGAATGAGATTTATATTGCATTTTTCTTCAAGTATATATGATTTCGTCAGTTGTTTTATGTTGCTGTGTAGAAAAGAAAGAAAAGAAACGCACGAATTTTTTTCTTCTTTTTCTCTTTTTTTTTCTTCGTTTTTTCTTCCCGTCATTATCATTGTCCATTCAATATTTTATGAGTGTACACATTTTGTTGCAAAATTTTTGCTAAACAATGGTGAATTATGCAGCATTAGAATCGATCTTGGGTTATAATTTCAACGAAATTTCATTGCTCCAACAAGCTTTGACAACACAAAGTGCGATCAACGAACGCCGTACAGATGCACATCAACGTAGTTATCAAACACTGGAATTTCTTGGTGATGCTGTTTTGAAATCAGTTATTGCACGTCTTCTTTATGATCATAATAACTATCAAACTGAACGAGAACTACATGATGGAATAACATCGTATATCGGTAATCGTACCAAATTGTGTCAAATTGGCCGAGAATCAATGAATTTAGAACAGTTTATTATCAGAGGAAGAGGTGTAAAAGAAATAACAAATGATATGTATGCTGATCATGTTGAAGCAATATTAGGAGCAATATCACTGGATTCACCAGATGATTTAGCAGTTTTTAAAGTTGTTAGTCGATTGTGGAATTTACCGCAGCGTCGCCAACGATCATCACCACGGGGACAACTGGTAAAAAATGATGAAAGCTGCTGTTGTTCGTGTTGTTGTAGTATGTCCTGTAAAATAATGTTTTTTATTGTCATTTTAGCGGCTACTTTTTTCATTGGAGTTTATTGTGGCAACGCACACTTGTTAGATCTTTCAGAATACAAAAGATAGTCTTGTCAGTTGACAGGTTTTGTTGTTGTATTGGATTCGTTGATGTTTAGAAAGAAAATTTTTCTTTTGGGATGATATAAAGAGAACAGAAGGAAAATCGTGTTATTTTTTTTTTTTTTTTAAACTTGTTTCTTATTTATTTAACTGGAAAAAAAAAGTACAAAGCTAAGAAGAGCAGGCAAATCGAAGTAAGATCATTATATGCCTGGATCTATTCGACAAAATGAGACATCAATAAAACAGATAAGAGAGTAAAAGAAAACAAAAAA